CTATAATGCTATCCAATTATTTTTTATTTGGTCAACCTTAACCTATTTTTTAAAATTTCTCCACTTTGCTCGAACTTAACTATGAACGAAATGACAATTTTGCCCCTATTGTAAAATAGACAGGTGCGAAGCGGCTTTAATCCCCCTCCCCCAAAAAAAATTAATAAAATAACTCTGGCTTTAATCATTCCAGTCGAAGCCTGTATCAGTCCTTCGCCGCTGCCGCCGCTGCCAATTGGGTTCTCTGCCGGCGTTATTGCTCTTTTTCCCCGGCAAGTTCATCCTTTCTTGAGGGCAAAGGTGAGCCCAAAATAGTGGAATATCTCGTTTCAGAGTCTCCATTCTCCAATTTCTCATCTCAATTTTCTGTAGGCCGATGTCAAATTGTCAATCAGTTCACTATATTTCTTTCTCTTTTCCCCCGTTTTCCCCTTCAATTCTAGCTATAAAGCTTTAATTTTTTTTATTTTTATTTTTTTATTTTTTTATGTTTTTCTTTCCTGGTTATTGTCGTTATGGAATAAGAAAATTTGGTAGTCTCTACGATTGTGGTTGACTGTATTTCCGAGATGCAACCTATTACTGTTTAAAAAAACCAGTTTTCTTTTAAAACTAAATAATACTCTCTGAATCTTCTGGGTAAAATATTGACCAGTTAAAGGGGGGAAAATGATTTTTGCTTAGTTTAGCATTACTAATTGGGATCTGAAGCATTTAGAGAGGAGGGTGAATCATGCTTAATCTGGTTCCACAAATGAATGTGCCCTAAAGGTCTAATTTGTGTTCAGTGATAAACTAACAGCATCTAAAACTAAAAGAGCCAGTAAATTGATCACTGCTGCTTTACTATTTTCTCACGCGATAAATAAGGAAGAATTTATGAGCTAATAAGATATACAGTACCTATCAAGCCACAGTGAATAGTTATTTGTTGAATAAAATCCTGAGTTTCAAGGTTTACCATGTACTTCTAAATAATAACACTGTAATCTGCTTTTTGTTGATTGTTATAAAAAAAACTCCTTTTTGTTGATTTATTGCTCATAAATTTAGTTGCATTTATGGAATTCGCTAATTTTTAATGTAGTTTATATCCAATAAGTAATATTGAGGTAATAGTAGGGTGCTTAACATGGATTCTTGCTTGCTTAAACTAAATGGTGAAAGTTACTTGACACTTGAATATTTTATCTTCTTTTTCTCTCTTTATTACTTTTTTACTCTTGACCAACTTTCTTTCTACATGTATCTTGAGTTGGATGCGCACCTTCCTTTGGGAGTTGGATTTGTTGAAGTGATCTGATCACGGGAGTTGTTTTAATTTATTTATTTTTCATTTTCCTGACAGGTGATTCCTACTGCTTAGGGATAGAACAAAGGACGCTAATTATGAGTTGTAATATGGTGGTTTAGGGAAGCAAGAGACACAGCAGTCACCTTCCTAACTATATTATGCTTCGCTGCCTATGAGAAGTGTAAGATCTTAGCTTCTCCTAACATCTTAGATGTTATGAAGAAAGAATCTAGGCTCATTGAAATGCAAAAGTTCTATCTTTCAAGTCATTAATGAAGGAAGAGATCTGTTCCACGTGAAAAGTTGGCTAGAGTTCTTGATACATGTATCTAATCGCTACTGACCTTTTCCCATTCATCTTGCTCTACTGGAAGGCTTCAGATGGAGGAAGGTTTGGGAACCAGTGAACAGCTTCCTGAGGATGACGGAAGCAATAATGAGGTTGACAGTGAGGAAGCCTTTGATATTACATGCAATGGTGACCAAGTGCTAAATGTTGAGGCCGATGAGCTTGAAGCTACTACTGGGCAAATTCTTGAATTTGAAAGCCATGAAGCTGAGAAAAGCTGTGAGCATGTGCTTGATTTTGAAAGCAGTGACCCAAGGGACAATAGTCACCAGTTGCTTGAGTTTCACAGCAATGGCCTTGGAGGTGGCAATACAACAATTATTGATGATCACACTGGTTCATCCCCGGGGAAGTTTTATCCTCCACCGGTTGTCGGCATGGAATTTGAATCTTATGAAGATGCTTATAATTATTACAACTGCTATGCTAAGGAGCTTGGTTTTGCCATCAGGGTGAAGTCTTCATGGACAAAACGTAACAGCAAAGAGAAGCGTGGTGCTGTTCTCTGTTGCAATTGTGAGGGTTTCAAGACAATGAAAGAAGCAAATAGCCGAAGAAAAGAAACAAGGACAGGTTGCTTAGCAATGATAAGGTTGAGATTGGTGGAGTCCAGTAGGTGGAGGGTGGATGATGTTAAGCTTGAACATAACCATCTCTTTGATCCTGAAAGGGTGCAAAACTCCAAGTCACACAAAAAGATGGATGCAGGGGTTAAAAGGAAGTTAGAGCCAGCAGTTGATGTGGAAGTGCGAACAATTAAGTTGTATAGAACTCCTGCTGTTGAGACTCTAGGGTATGGAAGCTTAGATGAAAGAGCATTCGGCGGGCAGATTGATGGCTCCACACGTTTAAAACTCAAAGAAGGTGATACCCAAGTCATATACAACTTCTTTTGTCGGGTGCAGCTTACGAAGCCCAATTTTTTCTACATTATGGATTTGAATGATGAAGGGTATCTAAAGAATGTGTTTTGGATCGATCCCAGATCCAGAGCGGCATATGCTTATTTTGGTGATGTGGTTGTGGTTGACACAACATGCTTGTCAAAAAAATATGACATCCCACTTCTAGCATTCTTTGGACTAAACCACCATAAGCAGACTCTTTTGTTGGGCTGTGGTTTGCTTGCTGATGAAAGTTTTGAGACATATGTTTGGTTACTGAGAGCATGGCTATCGTGTATGTCAGGACGCCCTCCACAAACTATCATCACAGATCGCTGCATGGCCTTGCAAAATGCAATATCTGAGGTTTTTCCTCGGGCTCAACATCGGCTTAATTTGTCTATTATTTTGGGCAGCATTTTCAATACTGTAGGACAAGTGGGAGAATCTGAAGTATTCCATGAGGTACTGTATAGTACGGTGTATAACTCTGTTAAAGTTGATGAATTTGAAGTTGCATGGGAGGAGATGATCCATCAATTCGGATTTAGGGGCTACGGATGGCTTCAAAGTTTGTATGAGGATCGAGAACGATGGGCTCCTATTTATATGAAAGATTCATTTTTTGCTGGAATATCTATTGATCAGCCTGGTGAGTTCATGAGCCCCTTCTTTGATGGATATGTACATAAACAAACAAATTTGAAAGAATTTTTTGATATATATGATTTTGTACTGCAAAAAATGCATCAGAAGGAAGTTCTTTGTGATTTTGAGTCTAGGGAATTTAGCCCCGTCTTGAGAACAAGGTGCAATTATGAGTTACAGCTATCTAAATTGTATACTAAAGAAATATTCTTGAAGTTCCAAGATGAGATGGCGTTGATGTCTAACTGTTCAGGTATAGCACAAATTCACCCCAATGCACCGATCATCACATATATTGTTAAAGAACGAGGGGCTCAGGGAGACACGGGGGATGCAAGAGATTTTGAAGTTACTTATGATAAAATAGGGGTAGAAGTCCGATGCATCTGCAGCTGTTTCAACTTTAAAGGTTATCTATGCCGACATGCTTTATCTGTGCTCAACTACAATGGTATAGAGGAGATCCCAAATCATTATATCTTGACCCGATGGAGAAAGGATTTTAAACGCTTGTATGCACCAGAGCTTGGCTCGAGCAACATAGATGTTAGTAATCCTGTTCAACGGTTTGACCATTTGCACAAATGGGCCATGCAAGTAGTCGACGAAGGGATGACTTCTCAAGATCATTATATGGTTGCTTGGCAGGCATTTAAGGAGTCCTTGAATAAGGTTCGCCTTGCAGCGGACAAACATGTATCATAAAACCAAAGAGGTTTAACATTTTGTGTAGTTTCTGAACTTTTTTTGTATAAATTATAAGCCAACTTCCACACATTATTATGTATAGTGAAATACTGCATTTAAGAGCTTTTTCAGGGTAACCTTTTCTTTTCTTCCCTAGATAGCACTCTGTTTGCCATCCGCTCTCTTGTACGTTCTCTTTTGACATCCCCTACCTTATGCCGTCTATATCAGCCTAATGGCCTGTTTGGCCAAGCTGGAAAAATCTGCTTATTTTGAGAAGTGTTTTTTCTAGAAGATTTGGAGAGAAGCAGTTTGAGTTTGGCTAATCAATGTGAAAAATACTTTTGCGCAATAATTTGTGTTTGGTCAAGCTTTTCAAAAAGTACTTTTAAGTATCAAATTATGAATAAGGACATGAAGAGATTTACTTAATAGTTAATATTATATGAACAAATAAATAATCTCAAATATTTATTATTAAAGACAATAATTAAGTTCTTTCATTTTATTTAAGTAAAACATGAAAATAAAATTTAAAAATACCTTAATTCTTTCAGGATGATTTGAATATATCAAAAAATTATTTAACAAATATAAAAGCATTCATCTCAAAAGTCACCATATATTAGAAAGCTATCCTTAAAAAAAATTATACATTAGGAGAGTTCAATAATATAATCTCTAATTCTAAGTATTATGTTTAAAATAAGTAAGGTTATTTTGATATATATCATATTTTGCTAAGGGTATTTTTGACGAGAAGAAAAGTCAAAACTGCTTCTGTTTCTGCTTTGGGAGAGAATCTACTTTTCTGCTTCTCTAGAACTGCTTCCGATTCTTCCCAAAAGTATTTTTTTTCCTCAAAAAAGCTTGGCCAAACACCTCAAGTTGAGAAAAAAAAAGTTTTTATGAGAAAAAAGCACTTTTGAAGTGGGGAGAAGCTTGGCCAAACCCGCTATAATTAGGTGCAAGCCCCCCTTCCCTTCTGCCTGTTTTCTATCGGCTTTTCTTGCAGGGGCACTTTGATGCCAAAATTTTCAAATTACGTCATAAAGCATTAGAATTAATATTCAGGCTTGTTCAGCTATTTAATTATTTTATATATAAAAGGAAAAAGGGGTATGTTCAGTTCTTTATGCTCATTTTTTGCTTTACATTTTTTAGTGCATCTCAAAGAACATTACATCAATTTCTTGTGTCGGCACACATTATTTCAGCTCGTGAAAAAATCAAAGCCAAACCGTTTCGCTTAAAAAAAAGGTCCAATTTTTGAAAATCAAACTAAACTTTTTTTTCGGAAACTAAAAAAACTCAAGGTAAGTTTTAAAAAAAATCAATTCAAATCTTATTAATAAGCTTTAAACAAATAAGTTTTATTCTTTGTCGGACATTGTAATCCATTTTTCGAACATCTTTTCCTTTTCTGAATGTTGAACATCAGTTGCAACGATAAACGATTCAATAGATTAATAAACCAATCAATAGATGTAATTAGCAATATTCTTGCAAGCTATAAGAAGCTTTATCCTCGTTCAACAAGGGAAACATTACTAAATTTGTAAGTCGAAAATAAAATAATAGTTAAATGAGTTAAAACACCATCAATTGATTAGCCGTTTTTGGCTGAAAGACAAGAGGAACTCAGCCGATCACCGCCGGCAGTGGCTCAGGTGAGAATCTTTGTTTAAATTTCCATTTTAATTTGCTCAAAGTTTGGTTTACCCTAGTAGCAATTCTTTAGTTTCTGCTTCTCCTTCTTGTCTTATCCCTCAGCTCATAGTGTTCAATGCTCAACCCTTCACCTCTAATTCCAAGAATTGATCTTTATTTTAGGCTGTACATACCCAATTAACCTAAACCCATACTAATTTAATGATTTTGATAGTGGGTTATCATCTTTATCAAAACAGAACACAGGAAATGAAATTCTCGATATTTGCTCAGATTATGTAGCTCCCCCTATGGACCCAAATGCAACCCCCCGGTGGGTGGGAGGGGGTGCGCTCTTAGTGAGCTATCCCCTAACTTTTCATCTGTAGAAATGGCTGCTTTCAATTTGCGTTGAGAAATATAATACTCCCTCTGTTTCAATTTGTTTGAAACTATTTGATTAGGTACGTGGTTTAAGAAAAAAGAAATACTTTTGAAACTTGTGGTTTAAAACAACTGTAGATATCTGTGTGGCGTTAAATCATCTCATTAAAGATAATTTTAAAGTTAAATTGTTTCTAAATCTAGAAAAGGTTCTTTTTTGAAACTGACTAAAAGGGAAATAGGTTCATCTTTTTGAAACGGAAGGAGTATATGTTTCGAGTACTTATTCGGAATCTTCTCACGAGTAACACTAGTGTGCTTGTTGTTTTTTGTGCCTGTATATTTTTGCTTATATTCATAGTTAATCTTGAGAAGATTCTGCTTTTTGCTGTTATTGCCGGAATGTTCATCCTTCAAATTTGAGTTTTTTTTTTCTTTTCATTCAAGGATATTGATATTCTCGCCTATTTTTTAAAGTGTAAATCAACTTCTTTTTTAACGTTTTTTTCGCTGTTCGATCTTTTATAGACTTTTGAAGAAATTTTGCTTCAGGTGTTTGCCTATGTAACAAAAAGAGATGCAATGGAAAGTTTCCTACTGATATACTAAGAAGTAAAAATATATTGTTGAAATGGATCATTGTGAGCTGTATACTCTTCTTTACAACCTTATGGCTTTCTCATACTTCAGGCTAATATTGAAGTTGGCATCTAGACCAGTGTAAGCAGAACCTTTTATATTGTAAAATACGTCTCAAACTCTTGTTAGAAGAATTCCCAGAGAGAAACATTGTCTTATTTCCTGCATAAAAAGACACTCTTCAATGTTATACAGTAACTATTTCCCCGATAGCCCTCGGCCTCTCATTAGTTCTGTAGTTGGGGAGAAACACGTCTGGAATATTTCCTTATTGATATCATTATATAAAAAAGTTATTTTGGCTTTATCTTTCGCTATCGTCCGCCTCCACCCTCCTCTCCTGGGGTTGTCGTCCCTGACCACCTTTGACGAATCCTCTTCTCATTTATATATTACAGAAATTGATGTTGATGGTTCTACAACATTCCAAATGGATGGTCTTTCACTCAATGCCGAACCCATCTTCGATGATGAAACTGAGGAATTCGAGATTGATGGGGAGTGTGCGATGACAGAATATGTTGGCCAATCTGGTGTTATTGAAGGCGAAAATCCTGTTCCTCCGGCTTTTGGAATGGAGTTCGAGACATATGAGGATGTATATTACTTTTACAATTGTTATGCTAAAGTGCATGGATTTGGGGTCAGAGTGAGTAATACATGGTATAGGAAGAGTAGGGAAAGGTATAGAGGAAAACTAAGCTGCAGCAGTGCAGGATTTAAAAAGAAAAGCGAAGCGAACCGGCCCAGACCTGAGACAAGAACTGGCTGTCCAGCAATGATAAAGTTCAGATTGATGGAGAACAAAAGATGGAGAATAATTGAAGTTGAACTTGAACACAACCACCTCGTTAGTCCATCAACTGAAAAGTTCTATAAATCTCATAGAAACATCAGTTCGGGGAGTAAAAGGTCCTTGCAGATGGATGCTAATCAAGACATTCAGAAAATTAGGTTATTCCGAACTGTCATTATTGATCCAGATGATGTTCGAAAATTAAACATTGATGAAGGTGAATTCAGGAACACGATTGTCCAGTCCAACAACCATTTGATTCTTAAACCTGGAGATGCTCAAGCTTTTCACAGTTTCTTCATTGATCTACAGTTGGTAAACCCTGATTTCTTTTATGTAATGGACCTAAATGAGAAAGGATGCTTGCGGAATGTGTTTTGGGCGGAAGCAAGATTTAAGGCTGCGTATAGTTATTTTGGTGATGTGGTCAGAATTGACACTGCTTGTTTGACCACCAAATATGAGATTCCACTAGTGGTAATTGCCGGAGTTAATCACCACGGACAATCTGTCCCATTAGGCTGTGGTTTGGTTGCAGGAGAGACTGTAGAGTCATTTATATGGTTGTTAAGGGCATGGCTGACATGCATGGTTGGCCGCCCTCCGCAGACCATCATAACTGACCAATCTAGAGTTATGCAAACTGCTATTGCGGATGTTCTCCCGCGGTCATCTTATTGTTTTTCTTTGTCACATATCATGAAGAAAGTTCCAGAGGAATTGGGTGGGTTGCATGAATATGAAGTAATCAAGAAAGCATTTACTAAAGCAATTTACCAATCATCAAGAGCAGAAGAGTTCGAAGCAGCTTGGGAGGACATGATACTATGCCATGGAATTAGGGACCATAAATGGCTCCAGACACTCCACGACAATCGTAAACACTGGGCCCCTGTCTATTTAAAGGATACATTTCTGGCAGGGATGGTTTCTGTGACACTCAGTGAGAAAGAGGCTTCTCCTTTTGATGAGTATTTGGCTAATCATACTCCCCTAAAAGAGTTCCTTAACAGCTATAACCAATGTCTGAAGGAAATCTATCAAAGAGAAGCATTGGCTGATACAGAATCAAGGAATTCCAGTTTTATGTTGAAATCAAGATTTTATTTTGAAATGCAGCTATCTAAAGTTTATACGAATCACATATTTGAAAAATTCCAAATCGAAGTCGAGGGAATGTTTTCGTGTTTAAGCACAAGACAAGTAAGTATTGATGGGTCAATTGTAACTTACATTGTTAAGGAACATGAAGTTGAGAATGTGAATGAAGCAAAAGATTATGAGGTTACGTTGAATACAGCTGTTGCGGAAGTTCTTTGTGCTTGTGGTTTATTCAACCTGGAGGGTTTCCTGTGCAGGCACGCTTTGTGTGTTCTAAGTCAGAACAGTTTTGAGGAGATCCCACCTCAGTACATTCTTTCACGTTGGAGAAAGGATATTCATCGTAGTTATGTTCTTGACTACGGTTGCAATTTGATTGACACCAAGAATCCAGTCCACAGGTATGATAATTTATACAAGTGTGCTGTGAAGTTGGTGGAAGAGGGAAGGAAATCGAATGAACGATACAAGTTCACTTTAGAAGCATTGGGTGAGATATTGAACAAAGTTAGTTTGCAAGATCATAACACTCTTTAGCTTTTTAAGAAGAGATGTGAAATATGTAAAATAGAACATCGTGCATCATTCTTCAGGATTATGCATGCTTTGTAATGTGCTAATGTAGGCATGATCATGTTTATGGATGTATGCACACAAAATCTACACTATAATGTAAAATAGATCTGTGTTAATGATCTATCCTTATTTTTGGTCACTATTTGCACATTAAGCTTAGAAAATGAAAATATATAGCAATGAATTATGCATTATATATGTTGATCATGTTATTTTTTTGAAAACGAGTAGTAAAACTGAATAAAAAGCACAGTCGCCAGTTGTATCTTGAATCTTTTCAACTTCTGCAGCATGGTTATCCTTTGAACGTGAGGTCATTCTTGTGAGAAGTTAAGACTTCTAAAATAAGCAAATACTTATTTACCTATATTAATTTATTTTCTTTGGTGTTATCAGCTTTGACGATTTTCTTCATGAATCATACTTGTTGCTGGAATAGAAGGATTTGTAGTATTCGCACTGAAGTCTATATACATGATTGATGGTGAATTTTAAACGCAAACTATGTGTAATTTAATAAATTTGTCGCTGAGGAAGATGTATTAATGTAATTTAATTGAATAAACCGTACAGGTTTTTAACCAAAAATAAAAAATATACTATGCATTCCAAATATTCAATTGGTCAGAAAACCTATTTTTCAGTTGTTTTGACATCTTATTTTCCTTGACCTAATGATCGATTAAGCTTTTAATTGTATATTCATATTATTTGATCTTTAATTCTACGTGTCCCAGATATGAACATGAATTTATGAAGAAAGTGTAAACAAAGATAAAACTAAAATTTATTGCTTCAGTTTACTTCATTTTCTACGTTTTTACACTTCAAAAGAGCAAGAAGGATATCCTTTGGGAGTTTCCTATTATCCCACATCGATAGAAGCTAAGAAGTAGACAGCAGAGAGCTGCTATAAGAACGAAGGCCTGAATCCTTTTTAAGGCATACCTTTCTCGGCCTTTTGGCTAAGATCAAGTGTAGTATCTGTTCTTATCAGTTTAATATCTGATATGTGGGCCATCGGCCCACACGATATTAACTTAATTTTTTAAGGGGGAAGGTCCATCAGGATAGCTTGCTATCCGGGCCTTCGCGCGTCGCTTTGGCGTTGCACTACTGCCATAGCCTGGCGCACCCCACCAAATCAAGTCATATTTTGAGTTAGCCCAAGTGTAGTTGGCCCAGTTCTATCTAAATTTATAAGTAAAGAGAACCAATGTTATTGAACAAGCCCATGCTCTTTGGTTCAGTTTTTCTTAGTGACTTGTAGTATGCTGCCACGTGTTTCCAAATGATTAAAGGCCCGGATAGAACTCATATGCTTTATGATGTTCTGTAAACCACCTGCACCTCCCATTTGATTTAGTCCCTTCATTAAAGATTTATTCTTGCTCGTATTTGCAAGTCGCTTGTATCCTTCCAGCAACTCTATTACCTCATGTACTCGACGGCCAGCACCCCTAGCTATTCGCATGATCCGGGATTGATTCATAAGCTTTGGATTGGAACTATCCAATTCTGCAATTATACCACAATTTTCTTTAACAAAAGATTATACTGAATTCTAAAAGTAAATAAGGATTACATCAATTAGCTTAAAGAAAACCTCATTGAATTTTAGCTCACTTGCCTTCGTTGGTCATTGAGTCCATCAATGTCAGATATCCATTAAATTTTGCCCGGATTTCCTTTTCATTACCTTTTGGCAGAAAATCTGCACCAAATAGCATTGAGAGGCCCTATACCAAAGATAAAAAAGTATAAACAATGGATAAAACAAATGATACCATGTCAATTCAAAAGGGAAAAAAGTATGCAGGAACAAATGTGGGTAACAGGTTTACATAGGGTAAAGTAGGTAGTTGTCTGCAAGAGACAAGTGTTGGCAAAACTTCCAATTAAACTAAGACTTCATTTGGAATCAAGTGCAATTAAGAACTTTATCCATGAAAGGTTATTTACACAGATGATTTATCATGAGCGGTAACCGCTCTCTCTTCCATTTTAAATGATGTATATTACTATTCTTAAATAGAAGGGGAGCCTTGGAGCAATAGTAAAGTTATCTCCGTGTGATCTTTAGGTCACAAGTTCGAGCCGTGGAAGCAGCCACTAATGCAATAGTAAAGTTATCTACACCACACCCCTTAGGATATGACCCTTCCCTGAACCCTACGTGAACACGGGATGCCTTGTGCACCGAGTTGTCACTTTTTTTTTTACTATTCTTTAATACTCATAATTCTATAAGAATTCTGACCTAGAGTACATTATTTTGTTTTCAAAGAGTTGTGACCTTGAGTACATTAATTGCCTAGTTGAAGTTTACAACTTCTTGATGAAATTGAAACCAACCAATTCAAAGAGAGCCTAAAACAACCAGCAAATGCTCTTGAGCTTGCTCAAGTTATTAGACATTTAATTATATAAATAAGTTTTGAGAACAGGGAAAGAAAAAAAGAAAAGAAAAAGTGCAAACAAGCATAAGAGATTCACACTGCAAGAAGTATGAACATAAAATCATTTGGCAATTTTTGAACACTCTATTTTAAGTTGGCTCCTTTTAAATGAATTGCTGAAATAATGACTAAAAAGGACAATCCGGTGCACTAAGTTGCCGCTATGCACGGGTATCGGGGAAGGGCCGGACCACAAGGGTCTATGTAGGCAGCCTTATACTGCATTTATGCTAGAGGCTGTTTCCACGGCTCAAACCCGTGACCTCCTGGTCACATGGGAGTAACTTTACCAGTTACGCCAAGGCCCCCTTCAATCCACGGCTGAAATAATGACTAATTTTCAGAAAGCAGAATGTTAAGAAATCCGCAATCCAATGACCCGTTACAGAAAATATGAAGTAAGAGAGAAAAGATTTGCCAAACTTCCAGGAAGGGGGATCAGAGATTAAATAAGCTAGCATACCTGGCCAATAGGACCCATTTTAAGTATGCATTGAAATAGCTCATACATTATTCTCAAGGTAGGCTTTCCTTGGGACAGTTTCTGAAGAAGCTCAGGCTGTTGATCCGTCAATACCACTTCATTTAGCTTGTCCATAAAACCAGACCAGTCGCCCATGCCTGATAGAAATTGATGTACAAGGAAAAAGGGCGTTAGCGACGTCAAGTGCCTCAGATGAGCAGGAAGGGAACACAAGAACAAATCAAATGCCAATGAAGTGAAGGATGTTTCCAACCAAAGATGAGGAAAGCGAGAAGAGATGCAAACCTAAAAGACGGCTCACGAATGGTTTAACATCAAAAACTTCAAACTCGTCTATGTGTTCACCAGTTCCGATAAATGTTACGGGACTTTTTGTTGCAGCAACTCTGCACATCAAAAAAGAAACAGAACAAATATATCTTGTTTATTCCCAAAATACAGCGATCAAAGGATTTCATTCCATACAAATTTCAGTGAAGCTAGATTCCAACAACAACAACATAATACTCAGTGTATTCCCACATTACGGTGAAGCTAGATTCCAACAACAACACAATACTCTGTGTATTCCCACATTACAGTGAAGCTAGATTGGACTTTGTAATTTTAAAATAAGAAAACATTAAAAAAAACAAAACTTAAGGCAGCAAAATTGTGATTATATTACTGTAAGAGACAAGGTGCAATTTTAAATCTCATGACTTACACAGCTTCTTAATTTTTCTTCATACTAATTGCATTACTTATTCAAGGCAAGCAGTTGAACTTTTTTTTTTCACATACAAATACATGTTTGGTAATATTACTATCAGAAGGAAAACTTAGGTCTGGGAACTTAGGCACTAAGCGCACCACCTCCTTTTGCATGGCCATCCATCTTAGTAACTATCACAGCTCCAACTGCAACACTTTGCGTAAATGCTAAAGCTTGATCAAAGGCGGCTTGACCAATACTACTATCCATAACAAATATCACAAGATCTGGTTTCTGGCAAATGAAATTATAAGCTCAGCATTTCAATCAAGGTAACATATACCGGAGGATATAATCACAACGGTTGAAAGATAAGAAGATGGGCATTTCACACTCAGAGAAACAATTTACTAAAGAATTGTAGAACATACTATTGCTTCAGATACTTGTCGCATCTCTTCAAAAAGAGCGGCTTCTTGTCTGTGGCGACCACTAGTGTCAACTATAATTAGATCACACTTTTCCTTTTTAAATGTTTCTACTCCGTCAACTGCTACTTTCACAGGATCTGACTCAGCATAGCTGTTGCAGAAAGCTTCATTCAATTAAAAAGATGGCTTCTTGCGTTGATTAAAACAATAAATGAAAGTTCAAATGACCTAGAAGCAATTTGATAAGCAGATCATCAACAGTGAATTATGTCTTTATCTTGTTTCTATTTTACCATTTATGGTTACATACAATAAATGACTAGACAGAATTTAACTATCAACTTTACTCTCTGTTAAAAGCATTAGCAAAGTCCATATACTTTTCTCCATAAGTTAAAAATGCTGCTCAGACTTCATCCTCTAATTTCCTTATCAAAATGTACTTTAAATTTGTGATCCTTATGCACTTATGACATCGTTTAGATGTTTGGAGATTAAATTAATTAAATAAAAATGGAGAATATCAGCTCCTTCTCAATAAAGGACAGGGAAACATCATCAGGATCATCATCAGATTTAGCTGCATCAAATATCTAAAATAAAAAATTGAAAGAAGATTGTACTTAATAGATTGGGAAGAGGATATGCCTTCCAAAAAAAGGTATTTTAGCTTTTGTAGCATTCTGCTTCAATTGATCGAATGCTCCGGCTCTAGATGTGTCTGCACACACTAAAGCTGGGTTCCAACCCTTTTGCTTGTGGCAGTAAGCATATTTTGTACAAGTTGTAGTTTTTCCAGATCCTGTGGTAAAACAAAAGAAAATATATTACTCCAATCTATCTTTACCCAACAACAACAACAACAACCCAGTAGAATCCCACTAGTGGGGTCTGAGGAGGGTAGAGGGTACGCAGACCTTACCCCTACCCCGGAGGGATAGAGAGGCTGTTTCCGGGAGAGCCTCGGCTCAGAGACAATAGATACGTAACAACAACAAAAACCAGAAAAATAGTATCAGCATCGTAAAAGACATCAAACAAATAGAAAGGCAAAAAAAAAAAAGTGTGAAA